TAAAATAGCAAGGCTTTAAAAAATGTTTTCTTAGAAATTGTGGGCTAGTGGCCAAAAAGGTTGTTCCGTGGCCTACTGTATAGTTTCAGATGAAATCACAAATCGAAGTCTAGAAATTTTCAATTTAGTGCACTGAGAGAGACCATCGAGTGTAAATTTATTTGCAAAAACATTTCTGAAATATCTATAAAAAAAACTTACGTAATTTTTATTTATTTTTCCTCACTATTCTTTAATATTTTTTATTTTTCTTTACTATTCTTTTTTACTTTTCTTTTCACCATTCTTTATTATTTTCAACTTTTTCTTTACTATTCTTTTTTATTTTTCTTTTTACCATTCTTTATTATTTTCAACTTTTTCTTTACTATTTTTTTATTGTTTTCTACATTCTCTGTACTATTTTTTTTATTATTTTCTACTTTTTCTTTACTATTTTTCATTATTTTCTACTTTACAATTTTTTATTATTTTCCATTTTTTTCTTTCTATACTAATCCGTTTATATTAATTGTCAAAGTCTCTAGATTTTGATAGTAAATAATTATAAAATTACGAGAAAATTGAGATTCAATATGGAGTCGATATTCTCCACCTGCGAACGCCAAGGTTATCGCTAGAAGGCAGTTCAGTTTCTTCTTGGAATTTTTACTGACCTCTGGTGGCGAGCTTTGCGTTCTCAAGTGGAGAAATTTATTTTATCCCTAAAAAACTATTTTATAATTAGAAAAATGCAAAAAAATGTTATTGTGAGAATAATTTTAATTGTGTTTTTAGTGCAAAGTTATAACGCTTTTTATTTAAACACAAAAATACCCATTGATGGTAAATAAATAATGTGCGAATATTTGCAACTATTTCGAATACTTTATGACACTTTTGATACTATATTATTTATTTATAAATTCATTCCGAGGTCTGTGAAAAAAATCTGTAACCAATTTTAATTATTCTTTTGTTTCTTTATCATATGAATTATTATTTTTAGTTGATTTAGTTTTTAGATTTTAGTTGCTTTTTTACATTTCGAAATTAATAGTAAAAAAGTGCTTGTCACTTTTGAATTAATAAAAATCGATTGTCACTTTTTTTTACCGCACATATTTAAATTAACAAGAAAAAAATGATTGACACTAAAGTGCAAAAATCAACTTTTTAATTTAACAATCAATTTTAATTCTCAATCAAAAGAAGAAGAAAAAATTCGTCAATCCTCTTATAAGGAGTTAATTAAAATATGACAAGTTTTTTTTTCTCAACATGTGAAAAAGCTCATTACTTGCGAAGCTATATAATATACATACACACGAGACGTTGTTGCAGAAAATTTCAATAAAATGATGCAACATAAAAAACGTAAGCATTCGAGCGAAGTTCGCGAGATGAAAAAGATAAATAATTAATTACAGCAGTATTTGCAACAAAATAAATATATAAAGGATTCTTTCTTGGAATCTTATATATATGTATATTGAAAGACGAACTTGAGAGTATATATCTATCTTAAACGTTATCCAGGTCAAGAGACGAAGAGGCAATAAAACAACGTTACATAAAAGTCATAATATCGTTACTTAGAAACTTTCACGTTGTTGGAAAATAGTGTGTCAAGCGCATAGTCTCATTCTATTTATAGGTGTATTAGTCTGGAAAACGGTTCAACATTTAAGTTCTAATCGACTTCACTCTCAAATCCGCGCACTTAATTGTCATCATTCTCTCATTCAATTCACTTTCAATGGAAATAGATTTTCACTGTTTGAACAAGAAAATCGTTTTCTACTCTTTTCGTCGTTGTCATGCTCTTGGACATATTTTTACAAAATTTTGATTTTTGCATTAACAATCGGATTGTTAATAGAGAACTAAAGAATTTAATTCTATTTTATTTATTTAATGCCACAATAAATAAAATAAATAAATAAACGCTATTAGGAAATAAAATATTCAAACCCTCGTCGGGAATCGAACCCTCAATGCGTGAGTCTAAATTCCAAGCATTTAATTTAATTTGATTAAAAAAAGGACGAAAAGTTCGTAAATTGTACGATATAATTTGGAGAATTTTAGAGAAATTACAAATGATTGCAGAAATTAAATTATTTTCAAAAGTAATAAAATTCTTTGCAGAAATTCAATTCTAATCAAAATTTTTTAAAAATTCTCGTCAAAATTTCGATTATCTCTATAAATAATAAAATTCATGGGGAAATTTCAATTATTTTCAAAAAATTTCCACACATTAATAATTTTCAATATAATCTATTATTTTAATAAAATTTTCCAAAAGAATTTAATTTTTTAAAAAAAATTTAATAAAATTCTATGGAAACATTTAATTATTTTCATAAAATAATAAAAATTTCACAAAAATTCAATCATTTACAAATTTTTTATAAATTTGTTTGCAAACATTTAATTATTTTCGTAAATAATAAAATTTTTTACAGAGGGATTTCAGTTAAAAACAAATGAATTTGAAAATTCTCAAAAACTTTCTTCAAAAATTATTAAAACTAATGGATAGTTAAAAAAAAAATTGTAGTTAACATTAAAAAAAATTTAATTTTGGAGAAGTTAAAAATTATTGCAGAAATTCAATTATTTTCAAAAATTTTCCACAATTTAAAGATTTTTAATATAATAAAAATTTCTCAAAAATTCAATTATTTACAAATTTTTTTAAAATTTCTTCGTAATATAATTCAATTATTTTTCTAAATAATAAAATTCTTTTTAGGAATTCAATTATTTTCATGAATAATAAAACTCATTGCAGAATTACAAATATTTTTACTTCAATTTTATTCGAATTCCTCAAAAAATGTAATTGTTCTTCAAAATTTTATTGAAATTCGACAGAAGAATTCAATTATTTACAAATTACAATTATTTTTAATAAAATTTTAATCGAATTCCTCGAAAAATGTAATTCTTAAAAATATTATATTATAAGTCATCAAAAAAAATCAATTATTTCAAAGTTTGATGATAAAATTTTTTATGAGAATTGAATTTTAAGAAAAATTCAATTATTCAATAAATTATTTATTTTTTATTAAAATATTTGAATTCTCGCAGAATTTTCTTATAAAAATCGATTTAAAAATAAATTTCAGTTAAATTTTTGGATAATTGAATATTGAAAGAATTATAGCATGAATGTTTATAAATAATTGAAGTTTGAAAATGTTTCAAATTAAAATCCTTAAAAATTTGAATTTTTTATACTGTTAACTGACAATTCTGTAGAATTTTTTTTTTTTGAAAAAGTTTAATTGAATTTATTTATTTCTAATATATACTTAATCGATGAATTTATTAATCTAAAGAAGAATTTTATTATTTAGAAAAATAATTGAATTATTGCCAAGAATTATATTTTTTTTTGTTTTAACTAATTAAAATCCTGTGAAGAATTTTATTATTTAGGAAAATAATTGAATTTTTGTAACAAACATTATTTCCTTTTTTTAAAAAAATTGAATTCTTTAGAGAAATTTTATTTTAATAGTAGATTTTGAAAATATTTGAATTTCAGATTAGAATTTCATTATTTGTGAAATTTAATTGACTACTTACAGAAAAAAAAGTTGAAATTGTTTTCAAGAGTAATAAAATCTTTCGCAGAAATTTAATTATGTTCAAAAATAGTAGAATTAGGAATTAATTTATTTTCAGAAATAATAAAACTCAATGCAGAATCTCAATTATTTTTAATACAACTTTTATTAATCGAATTCCTCGAAAAAATTCTTAAAAATTTTATTAAAAATCATCGAAAGAATTCAATTATTTAAAAAAATGATAACATTCTTTATGAGAATTGAATTTTAAGAAACATTCAATTGTTAAATAAATTATTTATTTTTCTATTTAAATAATTGAATTCTCGTGGAATTTTCTAATAAAAATTCATTTGAAAATTAATTTCAGTTGAAATTTTAGATAATAATTGAACATTAAAAGCAATATAGCGTGAATTTTTATAAATAATTGAATTTTGAAATTAATTTTCTTGAAAAAGTAATTGAATTTTTTTTATATTATTTAAAGTTTTTATTTTCTAATATATATTTAATTGAAGAATTTACGAAAAATTGAAATTTGTAAAATTGAATGAATATTGTACCTAAATAAATGGATTTTGAAAATTGTAGAAGAACTTTTTTGAAAATTAGTTGATTTAAAGAGAAAAATTTGAGTGCAAAATTCTTAAAAATAATAATTGAATTGAATTGATGAAAATAATTTTGAAGAAGTACAATATTCTTATAATATAAAATAATGATTTTATCAATTTACCATCTTTAATTATTATAAAACATGAAGTTATCGATAATATATGATTTAAAATAATACTCTCAAGGCTAAAATTCAGTCAAAAATGTTTCTAATGTAAACGGTTTTCTTCAGAAGTGGACTGAAAGTAAAATTTATTTTTTACAGTGAAGTTTAAATAATTTTTTAATTATTTTTTTTTGTACTGAAAATCAGTTATTTTGAACTCATTCAGAAGCAAAAAGTCAGTCTCTGATTGTCAGTAAAAAAAAATGATTTTCAATTGATTTTTCGAGAATAAATGAAATCATACAGTTTGATTTAAATTTTAAATTTTTACTATAACAATTTGATAATTTCAAGAAAAGTGTTTAACTATTCTCAGTTAAACGTTGCATAAAATTTTTTACACCTGAAATCCGAAGTATATTAAATTATACATAATAGAGAAAAATAAGTGGGTGTTGTATGCACGTATGTCCGATCTCTCTTGTACCGTATAAAGGAGAACTTGGGACTGGTTTAAGTCTAGAGATATCGCTACGTCACTGTTTTGTGACGTCATTAGGAGAATTGCGATAATGTGGGCGACATTGCAACTCACTAGGATGCGAGTGATATTACAAAGAGTGAAAAGGAGAAAGAGGCGGAATCTTGCAAGTACACACACACACACATATATATTTAATGTTTATAAATATTAATTATAATTCACGCACCGAGAGGGAGAGAGAATCTAAAGATGTGGCAATTAATCGGAAGGTGGTAACATTATTTGATGCCGCACACACCGACTACCGCGTTCTGTTCGATGATTCACAAAGTTGTGATGTATTATGCGCTCCTATGCAGCGTGTCTTATACAATAATAAGCGAGGGCAATTGTTAATAATTGATATACTGAACTCCGAGGAAAATCTGTTTCCTGATTTTTTTTCCGAGAGATTTTTCGAAATTATTTATATTTTTTTCTTTTCTCTGCGGAAAATTTCCACATTATTTACTAATATTTATTTTCTATTATTTAATACATTATTTTTTAATACTTATTTATTTAGAATCATTCTATATGAATTCTAGTGAATATGAAAATTCATATTCATATTTCATCCATTTCTGCATGTTTTATAATAATTAAATATGACCGAATGATAAATAAATAGCAAATTTTATTAATTAAGGTATTGAAAATCACTAAATTTAGGAAAGTTTTTTTTTTTAAATAATTCAAATTTTTATAACAATTTTTAACTAAAATTCTTCTTTAAATCAATTATTTTTAATAATTTTGAAAAAAATTCTTTGAGATTGTTCAAATCCATTTGTTTACAATTCAATTCTATAACATTTCGAAAAATTCAATTAAAATTAAAAAAAAAAAAAAAATTCTACAGAATTGTTTGTTAAAAATATGAAAATAATTAAAGGTTTGCGCAGAAATTTATTCAAATTTCTTTTTAAATAATTGCATTTTTTGCAAATTTTTGTTAAAATAGTTGTTATTGAAAATCATTAAAATGAGGAAAATTTTTGAAAATTATTGGAATTTTGCAAAGAATTTTATTAAAAACTTTTTGTAATTGAATTTCTGCAATCATTTGTAACTTCTCCAAAATACAATTAATTTTGAAACATTTAAGTAAAATTATTCATTAAATAATCTTTAAGTATAATAATTTTATGATAGTTCTTCAAGAATTAAGTTATTTAAAAAGAAATTATTATTGCGTCAGAAATAGAAAAAATTGAAGGTTTTATATTTGAATTCAGAATTTTTTATGAAAATTCTAAAAATTTAATTTTATCCATTACTGTTAATAAAAATCCCTGTCTTTTCTCTGATTTTCCTAAATTTTCCCTGAATACTGAATTTTCTGAGTTGTGTGGCAACCCTTTATTTCTTTAATTAAAAAAAATTATCTCTTTGATACAAAAAATTCGACGTATCTTCTTTGAATAAAGTCATAAAATGAACGAAATTCGTTTTTTTAATAGATGAGAATTGTCATCTATTGAGACGCATTCAAGTAACGAGACTATATGTGCAAAGCATATTGAGAGAGAAATCGACAATTCTTGGTAGTCAAAAAAAAAAAATCTTTTAGTTCGCGCCACCTCTCGGGGCCATTGGAGCATCGCAACGAAGACCATAACGGAACTTTGTGTTAAAAAGAAATGAGGGTCATTTGCCTAACCAGTTAAGTAAGTTCCAGGAACCATTTCTACCAAAAGGAATATTATATACGAAATTCTGACAAAAAATACATATTTTCGATTCTTCTAAAAGCTTCTTTAAAGAAGGGCCGGGGATTGGAAAAATTTATCTAAGGAAGTGTTAATATTGATAACTCTTTCCAAAGAAGTTTCAAAGTTCTTCGGCGTATTGTGTATTTTAATGACCATCGACAGTTTCTGAACCAAGTGACATTCGAAAATAATTAATAATAAAAAAAACGAAAAAAGGAACTTAAATCTAATTCGAAAAACTAAATCAACTAAAAATAATAATTGACGATAGAGACACAAAAGAATAATTAAAATTGGTGATTATTTTCACAGACCACGGAATGAATTTAGAAATAAAAAATGGTATCAAAAGTGTCATAAAGTATTCGAAATAGTTGCAAATAGTCGCTCGTTATTTATTTACCATCAATGAGTATTTTTGTGTTTAAATAAAAAGGGTTATAAATTTGCACTAAAAACACAATTAAAATTATTCTCACAATAACATTTTTCGCATTTTATTAATTATAAAAAAGTTTTTTTAGGGATAAAATGAATTTCTCCACTTGAGAACGCCAAAGTCACCACCAGAGGTCAGTAAAAATTCCAAGAAGGGGCTGAACTGCCATCTAGCGGTAACCTTGGCGTTCGCAGGTGGAGAATATCGACTCCATATTGAATCTCAATTTGCTCGTAATTTTATAATTATTTACGATCAAAATCTAGAGACTTTGACAATTAATATAAACGGATTAAAATTTTTAATTTACTTTCCTTTTTGATATTTTCATCGTCTCTATTTTTTTGTCTTGGAATTAATTTCTTCAGTAAATAAATTGATATTTAAAATCTTGAGAAATAGTTTAATTTGTGGTTTATGGTTTTTAAATTTAACGAAAAAAGCTAAATAGTTGCATGAGGCGAGAAAAGTGTCGAAAAGTATCAATAGTGAGTCTGAGGCCTGTTTTTATGTTACAGAGATTATGAAAAATTTCTCACAATGACGTAGGTCAGTTATTCTATTAGCTGGTGTAGTGTAAATGACGTAACTAATATACTACAGAGACGTTGGGAGATCACTTTTTCATAGATCCGAACAAAATTTAATTGATATATATATTATTATATATATATTATATATATTATTATTATTATATATATATTATTTTTAAAAAATAATTATCATAGCTCTTTATAACTATAATTGTTTTCGAATATCATAATTTCTACACATATTTACTCTCCGTGAAAAAAATATCTTATCTCAACTGTTGTAAATGTTCAATTTGACAAAGGAATTCAACAAGAAAACTGTGTTATGTACACATTAAACATACTATATAAAGTTCCAGTAAATTAACTTTGAAAATTTAACAGACATTTCAACTCACTATTAGTGGGAATTACTAGGAAGTTTAAATAAAAAATTAAATAACAGAAAAGATTAAAATAAATATGTTCTTCTATATAATTTTAAAAACATATATATTTTTCCTCATTCTTTAAAATAATGTCAAACGGAAATAATACAGAATTTTTTTTTTATAAAGAAAATTTGAAGATATAATATTCAATGTCTACAGTTATCTTGAAGCTATCAACTTTATCCAAAAAGATTTTAATTCTTATTTGTCTCTGGATAGCAAATACAATATTTCATAATGTATTTACTTTTTAATATTTGCACTAGAAACACTGTTTCTATCTTTTAATCCTCGAATAAAATTTATATATAACTAACAATTTTCAGAGAAATATTTTTATTTTCCTCGCAAAAAGAAAAATATTCCATCATGGTATTTTTCTGGATGATATTAAATTGTAAAAAGGCTTTAAAAATCAAAAGGTTATCAAAAAGGTAATCAAAAGGTTATTCAACAAAAGAAGGTATGAAATATCGTTAATTAATAACACAAATTACTGAATAAAAAAATATTTGCTTGCAAAAAGGAATATGTTTCTCAAACATTATAATCTTGTTATATTATTTTCAACTCGTCGATGAAAAAGTATTAGGAATCAAGTGACGTTTTTGTAAATTAAAGTGACTACGGTTACAGAAAATATTTCACCAATACGCAAAACATAACAATAATAATTTTTTTTTAACTTTTGAAAACAAATTGCGTGTTAAAAAAAACATACACCACACACAATTCTTCATCGTTTTAAGTCTCGTTTCTCGCCAAGCAATATAATTATACAAGACAGCAAAAATTGTTGTTGCATATACACAATTTGCATATATTATTAAAAAATTCTCCACAAATGCAATTTCTTATGTATACATTAGTCAAATAGTTGTAAACCTTGAATTTGACACAATAACATTTTGACGTTGAACACGTTTTATTTTATTTCTGTTATTTTAACTATGTTATATTATTAAAAATTTAATTTATTTTATTTCAACTATTAATAATTCTCACCGAGTAATTTTTATTTCTACTAAATAATTTTTAATATTAACCGTTATTTATAATAAATTTTTTTTAACTCAATTATTTTTATAATTCTTAGTAATTATCCACTGAAATTTTAGTAAAAAAATGTAAAACGTACTACTAAATAAAGTAGTAAATTTTTATCAATAGTTAGTAGAAATTTACACTAATTTAAATTACTGGGAGACTAAAAAAAATTATTTAAATTTTTTGGTTCAAATAAAAATATATTTATCTCGAATAAAATTTTTATTTAAAGCTCGATTAAAAGCAGATAAAAATTTATTCATCTCGAATAAAATTTTTATTTAAAGCTCGATTAAAAGCAAAAAATAATTCAATTACCTCAGAGATAAATATATTTTTATTTAACTCAAAATAAATAAATAAAATTTTTCCCACCCTCTTTTTCTTTTTTACTATTTTTTGAAACTGAAATAAGAAAGAAAATACAATTTTTATAAAATAAAATTTAAAATCGAGTATAAAATAATTACAGGATATACAATAATAATAATAATAATAATAATAATAATAATAATAATAATAATAATAATAATAATAATAATAATAATAATAATCTGACTTTCTCTTTTTAACAAACAAAATCGATCTTCAAGAAATAATTTTTCATTAGAGGAAGGCAACGAACCGTAACTATAAAGTTATATATTATAAACAATAAACATATAAAATTCATGTGATTTAGTTTCTCTAGAAAATAGACAAGAAACTGTAAAATCAGAATTTATTGCACTGTTTGCAATATTTTTATAAACTAACTTGAAAATAATTACAATCTTATAACATGCAACACTTTTCTTATATATATTTATATACACGTATATATATATAAAACGAATTAAAATTGATTAGAATCATAAAAGATACACGCGTTGTTATATAAAACGCACAATTTTACTCTAAAATTTATACTTTACTACTTTCCTCTTTTCGCTATTTCTATTTCTATAAAAAAATATAAAATATAACCATAAAAAGAGGTAAAATAGTTTAGAAAATAAAAAATAAATCAGAAAATAAAAATCTTTTGATTATAAAAACACGCGATCTCTACTAAAAAAAAAAAATTACATAATGTATTGATTTTGAAAATTAATATACGAATCTCAAGATTAATTATTATATCCATTTTTAAACTCTCATCTCCTTTTTTTATATACATACACGGCGAAGATAAAAAACAAGAAATTTAAATTTACAATTATTTTTTCACCGTGTCTGAA